TCCCATGTAGTTGACCATGGTTCGAGTCCCGGATCCGGTGGCTTAAACTCACACTGGGCGCGTGTGCGTGTGTTCCCAAGATCCCGAGAGAAGAATGGAGGAGAAAGGATTGGGCATGTCCATCCCCCCTGGGGGGTGATTTCTCACTTTCTGTCTCTCTGACTCTCTTTCTGACAAGCATACACGCCCTATAGCAAAAACCTCTCCAAAAAAAAGTAAAAAAATGAATGAATAAATAAAATTAAATAATTAAAAAGAAGAAGAGAGGTCCGAGGAAAGCGCCATGAAAGTAGAATGGCCTGGACGGCAGTGATAAAGGGAGTGGAGCTGGGATAGCTGCCGTCACCTAGGTCATCTGCACTTCCTTCCTTGGGATAGCGGAGCCTCTCCTCCCTGTCTACACTGCTTCTCCACACTAATGCTCCTTCCCCTTATCACAAATTACATAGACACTGCTCAGCAAATGTTTGCTCCCTAGGAATGGCTGGCAATGAGGCAGCTGTCTTCCTGAGCCAGAGGATTTGTATGGATTAAGTGACTGATGTAGCCCTAGAGGTCAAGTCCATGAACATAATTTGCAAGAGAAAGAATTCCTCTCACTTCTCACCACCTGCCTGCCCCAATCCTTCCCTGCCTAGGCTATCCTGCCTGTGTCAGTAGAAATACAGCATCTTGGGACTGGCAGGTGATGTGGGACTGAAGGCGCTGGACTTCCACATTGTCGTCAGTGGTTCAATTCCTTGATGTGGTGGCTTGCTTTCTCACTTTCCCTGTCTCTCTGGTCAAATTTTTAAAATAATAATAATCAATAAGATAAAATTAAGTAATTTTTTTTTTTTTTTTAGAGAGAGAGATTTTTGCTAGAAGGTACATGTGCTTGCTGGACAGACAGAGAGAGACAGAGACAAAAAGCAAGAAATCAACCCCCAGTGGGAGGATGGCCACACCATAATCCCTTCTCCTCCATTCTTCTCTCAGGATTTCAGAAACACATGTATATGCACCTGGTGTGAGTTTCAAAGCCACCGGGTCCAGAACTCAAACTGCGGTCGGTTGACTACAGCGGGAGTCCAGTGACATAATCATTATGGCATCTACTGGTCCTTAAATAATTCTTTTTTTCTGTTTTTTAAAGAAATACAGCACCTAGATCAAGGAGCATATTATTGCTCCTCTGCTTAGAACTGATTTGATTACACTCTCTATTACCAGTTCAGTTCTGGGCTTCTCGTTGTACGGAATAGATCAAGGAAGGGAGAGCAGAATGGGGAAAGATCTGGAAATCAGACCTCAGGAGGAACAAAGGAAAGAATCGGAATGGATAATGCTGGAGGGAAGGGACACACATGTCAGCAGTCTTCACATATTTGGAGGGCGGCATGTGGAAAAGAATTTCAGAGTTACTGTGTTGGCTCCCTAAGGCAGCAAGAAGTAGGATCAATGAGTGCAAGATCCAAGAAGACAAACTCTACTCAGTAGAAAGGACCATCTTTGGGCCAGCCCTTGGCATGGTGTTTGAGGAGGCTGGATCCCACGTGGCTGACTACGCAGTTTGAGTCCCAGACCTGGCAGTTTGAGAAACATGCCAGGTGCATCGTGTGCCTGCCCACATCCAGAAAGGAGAAATGGGAGGGAAGGGTTTGTGGCATGGCCATTCCCTGTAGGGAGTGCTTTCTGACATTCTCTTTCTGTCTCTCTGCACCCTGGTGAGGGCATGATCCCTGTAGCAAAACTAAAGAGAGAGAGAAAAAAAAAAAAAAAAAAACGAGGCGACACCTAGAGCAGGAATTTCTCTATATTTGCCTAAGGTCAGGAGAAAAACACTTTGCCGGAAGTGTTTTTGCTGGAAGCAGATTTACAAGCAATTTTTCCTGGGATCAACGGGTGGCATAGTAGTTGGGATGCTGGACTCCCACATGGCCAACTGTGTTTCAAGTCCTGGACCTGGTGGCTTGCTTTCTCACTTTCTCTCTCTTTTTAAGAATTTAATTTTATTTATTATTTTTATAGGACACATGCACTCACCAGAAAGAGACAGAGAGAGAAAGTGAGAAAGCAAGCCACCAGGTCCAGGATTTAAACCATGGTTGGCCATGTGGGAGCCCAGCATCTTGAACTGCCACCCCACCTGCTGGCCCCTCACTTTCTCTCTCTCTGTCTCTTTCTCTCATCTCTCTTTAGTGAGTGTATGTGTCCTATAGACAATTTAAAAGATAATAACAATAATAATTAATTTAATTAAATAATTCTTAAAGTCTATTTACCCTTTCGTCTCCATTTCCTTAAACCAAGCTCCTCTATTAAGCGGGCAGGGTTATGTGTGGGGAGGGTGTGTCTGTCTATGTTGGGAGGAGGGGCTGTCATCCTAAATACATGGCCTATTTTGCATATGTGCACCAGCTATACAGAAGGAAAATGGTATGTTGCTTTTGGATATGTGATGGCGGGCGCTCTCATTGTGCAGAAAGACCTGCTATTGAGACCCTTCAGGAACGTGTGCCTGTCCTCTCTTCTCCTCTCACTACTGATGGAGGACTTCAGACCTTGTTGCAGAGTGGACCCTGTGACTCCGCAAATTGCTCCCAGTTCTAGGTCGGAGTGGGAAGGGTTCCAGGGGTGAGGAGTTGAACACTGTGTGGCTGCTGGAACACCATCTGGGTCTTAAAATCAGCCTCAGTTGAAAAGAGAACATTAGAAGAGGCTTCCTCTAGGCTCCCATGTGACCCAAGACAAGAATTTGAGTTATTTCTGAGACTAGACAAACATTTACACTTGTCACAAAAAATAACATTAGAAATTAAACGTAGAGTTTCTGGAAAGGAGAGAAAAAAGGGAGAGGGTCCAGGTATTTTTCCATTTCCTAAGAGAGGAACCTGATATTGGGAGCAGCTCAGAACCCATCTGGCACAGAAGACACACCAAACAGGAGGTTTGAGATACCTCTTCGATTAAACTCAAATCTAAGGTCCTGTTTGTGTCTGGAGATTTGTGTACAAGAAAGCTGGAGTAGGGGGGCCGTCAGGTGGTGTGGTGGTTAAGGGCGTTGGACTATGACGTGGCCGAC